TTTGTGCACGGTGAGAGATATGGGTCTATTTTCATTCTTCTACAGGTTGACATCCAGTTGTGCCAGCACCATTTGTTGAAGATGCTTTCTTTCTTCCATTGCATACTTTTAGCTCCTTTATCGAAAATGAGGTGTTCATAGGTTTGTGGGATAAAATCCGGGTCTTCTATACGATTCCATTGATCGACTTCTCTGTTTTTATGCCAGTACCACACTGTTTTCATTACTGTAGCTCTGTAATAGAGTTTGAAGTCAGGGATGGTAATGCCTCCAGAAGATCCTTTATTGTATAGGATTGTTTTGGCTATCCTGGGTTTTTTGTTTTTCCATATAAAGTTGATTATTGTCTTCTTCAGATCTGTGAAGAATTTTGATGGGATCTTGATGGGGATTGCATTGAATCTATAAATTGCCTTTGGTAGAATTGCCATTTTTACTATGTTGATCCTCCCAATCCAAGAGCAAGGGAAGTCCATCCATTTTTTGGTATCCTCTTCAATTTCTTTCTTCAATGCCTTAAAGTTCTTGTCAAATAGATCTTTCACTTCCTTGGTTAGATTTACCCCCAGATATTTTATGCTGTTTGTGGCTATCGTGAATGGTGAAGCTTCTCTGATTTCCCTCTCTGCTTCCCTATCCTTTGTGTATAAGAGGGCAACTGATTTTTTGGAGTTGATCTTGTATCCTGCCACATTACTAAAGCTGTTTATCAGCTGTATAAGTTCTTTGGTGGAGTTTTGGGGGTCGCTTAAGTACACTATCATATCATCTGCAAATAACGAAAGTTTAACTTCTTCCTTTCCAATTCGAATCCCCTTGATCCCATTATGTTGTCTTATTGCTATTGCTAGAACTTCAAGCACTATATTGAAGAGGTATGGTGAGAGTGGACAGCCTTGCCGTGTTCCTGAGTTAAGCGGGATGGCTTTGAGTTTCTCTCCGTTTAATTTGATGTTAGCTGTCGGCTTGCTGTATATAGCTTTTATTATATTTAGGTATGACCCTTGTATCCCTGATCTCTCCAAGACTTTTAACATAAATGGATGTTGAATTTTGTCAAATGCTTTTTCAGCATCTAATGAAATGATCATATGGTTTTTTTCTTTCAGTTTATTTATATGCTGGATTACATTGATAGATTTTCGTATGTTGAACCAGCCCTGCATCTGAGGAATGAAGCCTACTTGATCATAATGGATAATTTTTCGGATGTGTTCTTGGATTCGATTTGCCAGTATTTTGTTGAGGATTTTTGCATCGATATTCATGAGTGAGATTGGCCTGTAGTTCTCTTTCCTGGTTGAGTCTTTGAGTGGTTTTGGTATCAGAGTAATTGTGGCTTCATAAAAGGAATTTGGTAATGACCCTTCTGATTCTATATTGTGGAATACATTAAGGAGTATAGGTATTAGGTCTTCTTGGAAGTTCTGGTAGAATTCTGCATTGAAACCATCTGGTCCTGGGCTTTTTTTGGTAGGGAGGTTTTTGATAACAGCTTCTAATTCTTCGCGACTTACAGGTCTGTTTAGATTGTTCACCTGGTCCTGGTTTAGTTTTGGTAAATGGCATTTATCTAAAAAAGCGTCCATTTCTTTTACATTTTCCAGTTTTGTGGCATATAGGCTTTTGTAGTAAGATCTAATGACTCTCTGAATTTCCTCTGTGTCTGTGGTTATGTCCCCCTTTTCATTTCTGATCTTATTAATTTGCGTGTTCTCTCTTTTTCGTTTGATTAGTTTGGATAGGGGTTTATCTATCTTGTTGATTTTCTCCAGGAACCAGCTTTTTGTTTCATTGATTCTTTGGATTGTTTTCTGTGTTTCTATTTTGTTGATTTCAGCCCTCAATTTGATTATTTCCAGTCTTCTACTCCTCCTAGGTGAGTCTGCTTCTTTTTTTTCTAGAGCTTTCAAGTGGGCTGTTAAGTCTCCAATATGTGCTTTCTCTGTTTTCTTTAGGTGGGCACTTAGTGCTATGAACTTTCCTCTCAGGACTGCTTTCATAGTGTCCCATAAGTTCGAGTATGTTGTTTCTTTATTTTCATTGAATTCAAGGAAGACTTTAATTTCTTTCTTTATTTCTTCCTTAATCCAGGTATGGTTCAGTAGATGACTGTTCAGTTTCCATGAGTTTGTAGGCTTTCTGGGGGTAGCATTGTTGTTGAATTCTAACTTTAATCCATGGTGATCTGATAAGACACAGGTGGTTACTAATATTTTTTTGTAACTGTGTAAGTTCGCTTTGTTACCGAGTATGTGGTCAATTTTCGAGAAGGTTCCATGAGCTGCAGAGAAGAAGGTATATTCTTTCCTCTTTGGGTGGAATAATCTATAGATGTCTGTTAAGTCCATTTGCTTCATTACCTCCATTAATTCTCTAATTTCTCTGTTAGGTTTCTGTCTGATTGACCTGTCCATTGGTGAGAGAGGAGTGTTGAAGTCTCCTACTATTAGTGTGTGCGGTTTGATGGCTGCCTTGAGTTTTAGTAATGTTTCTTTTACGTACGTGGGTGCTTTTATATTAGGGGCATAGATATTCAGGATTGAGACTTCTTCCTGATGAATTGTTCCTGTTATGAGTATAAAATGTCCCTCTCCATCTCTTCTGATTGATTTAAGTTTGAAGTCAACTTTGTTAGAAATTAGTATGGCCACACCTGCTTGTTTCTTAGGTCCATTTGCTTGATAAGCCTTTTCCCAGCCCTTTACTCTGAGTAGGTGCCTGTCTTTGTGGTTGAGGTGTGTTTCTTGTAGACAGCAGAATGTTGGATCCTGTTTTCTTATCCAATCTCTTAGCCTGTGCCTTTTTATAGGTGAGTTGAGCCCATTGATATTAAGTGATATTAATGACCAGTGGTTGTTAACTCCGGTCACTTTTTAAGTAGTAGGGTTTGTGTGTTTTCCTTCTTTGATTTGCGCTGGTGAAGAGTCACTAGATGTCTGAGTTATTGTGGTCATTGTTGGACTCCTTGGTTAGTGATTTTCCTTCTATTATTTTCTGTAAGGCTGGATTTGTGGCTACGTATTGTTTAAATTTGTTTTTATCCTGGAAAATTTTGTTTTCTCCATTTATAGTGAATGAAAGTTTGGCTGGATATAGTAGTCTGGGCTTGCATCCGTGGTCTCTTAGTTTTTGGAGAACATCTATCCAGGACCTTCTGGCTTTCATGGTTTCCATAGAGAAGTCAGGTGTAAGTCTGATAGGTTTACCTTTATAAGTAACTTGGCCTTTTTCCTTTGCGGCTCTTAATATTCTTTCTTTATTCTGTATATTTTGTGTTTTGATTATTATATGGCGAGGGGATGTTTTCTTTTGATCCAGCCTATTTGGTGTTCTGTATGCTTCTTGAACCTTCATAGGTACATCTGTCTTCAGGTTGGGAAAGTTTTCTTCTATAATTTTATTAAGTATATTTTCTGTACCGTTGAGCTGCACTTCTTCTCCTTCTTCTACTCCTATTATTCTTAGGTTTGGTCTTTTTATTGTGTCCCATATTTCCTGAATGTTTTGTGATGAGAGTTTGTTGGACTTGCTGTTTTCTTTGATCAGAGTGTTTATTTTCTCTATGTTATCCTCAGAATCTGAGATTCTTTCTTCTATCTCTTGTATTCTGCTGGTTATACTTGATTCTGTAGTCTCTATTCGTTTACCTAGATTTTCCATGTACAGTCGGCCCTCTGTTTGTGTTTTCTTCTTTGCCTCCATTTCAGTTTTCAAGTCATGAACTGTTTCCTTTATCTGCTTGATTGTTTTTCCTTGGTTTCCTAGGGTATCATTCACTGATTTACTCAATTCCTCGAACTTTCTATTATACTTCTCATCCATTTCTATAAGGGCGTTTTTTATATGCTGTTTAAGGGTGTCAATCACTTTCATGAAGTCAGTTTTTTCTACTTCTTCTTGATTAAGGTGTTCATGTCCTCCTGTTGTGGGGGTCACTGGCTTCTGGTGGTTTCGTGTTGTTTTTCAGATTGTTGGGAGAATTCCTGCATTGGCGTCTGCCCATCTCTTCCTCCCAATACTCCCCTTTGGATCTTCTTTTATAGGATCAGGTCTTCTTGCCCACTGATGTACCTTCCCAGTGATGTCACTCCCCAGAGATGTTTCTCCACAATGATGTTTCACTCGGTGCCCAGATCGAAACTTAGCGCTGCTTGGTTAGCTCGCGAACAACGGGCCCACCCCGCTTGCTGCAGGCAGGCTATGGGAACAAAGGAGCTACCGGCCACCCCTATGTCCTCCCGGTTCAGATTCGGTCCCAGTGCCCTAGCAGGCTGGGCAGGGTGGCGCTATGCCCCAAAGGAGGGAGGGAGACAGGGGGTGTGGGGATCTGGATGTAAGCTGAGTGGGATAGGAAGAGAGAGGGGGTTTGGGCAGTATAGCCCCTGTAGGATGGCCAGGAAGTGTGGGCGGGCTGAGGTATGATCCCAGCTGCCGCAGCACTCACTCACCACAATGATGTTTCACTTGGTGCCCAGATCGAAACTCTGCGCTGCTTGGTTAGCTCGCGAACAAAGGGCCCACCCCGCTTGTTGCAGGCATGCTATGGGAACAAAGGAGCTACCGGCCACCCCTATGTCCTCCCGGATCAGATTAGGTCCCAGCGCCCTAGCAGGCTGGGCAGGGAGGCGCTATGCCCCAAAGGAGGGAGGGAGACAGGGGGTGTGGGGATCTGGATGTAAGCTGAGTGGGATAGGAAGAGAGAGGGGGTTTGGGCAGTATAGCCCCTGTAGGATGGCCAGGAAGTGTCTAAAGCTCTTATTTTGGCTACAGTGAATTCCGTATTTGTCTTTTTTCAGTTCTGGATGATTTGCAAAATATTTCTGAAGTGTGATACAAGAAGAATAAACTTCAACGTAAAGCGGTCATCATAATCAGGGTGTCATCCCTCAGGGTGACCTCATTTCCTTTCATTATCTTTCTCACCTTTTATATCAAATACTGGACAGACCTAACTGTGTAAGAAGAAATAAGTGTCTACGTAGTAATTACTCTCTGCAATGGGAGGATTACAATTTAAATACCTTTTTTGGGGGTGCTTTGCTGAGTCTGGGGGAACATTCCAGGCAGCGCTAATAGTCTCCCTTTTGATTCCATGTTCCTTGAGTATGGATTATAGGGCAGGGCCAATTATTCCAAATGAGACTTTAATCTGGGTCTGGAACGTCCCAACTGAAGCTTGTATTGGAAAATTTAATCACTCACTAGATCTGAGCCTCTTCCCTTTAATCGGAAGTCCCCGGAAAACGGCCACAGGGCAGCCTGTTACACTATTTTATGTTGATCGACTTGGCTTCTATCCTCACATAGATTCAGTGCTAGCCGAACATCATGGAGGAATACCTCAATTAGGGAACTTGCAAGATCATCTGGCCAAAGCAAAGACTGACATAGAGCATTACATCCCAAAAGACCAATTAGGCTTAGCTGTCATTGACTGGGAAGAATGGAGGCCCACCTGGCTGAGAAACTGGAGACCCAAGGATATCTACAGGAATAAGTCTATTGCCTTGGTCCAGAGAAATAATCCAGGAATTAGTATCGCTGATGCCACCAAAAAAGCCAAAGATGAATTTGAAGCCGCAGGAAGGAAGTTCATGGAAGGGACTTTAAGACTAGGAAAATCAATTCGACCAAAACACTTATGGGGTTATTATCTCTTTCCTGATTGCTATAACAATAAATTTCAAGACCCAAAATATAATGGGATGTGCCCTCCCGTGGAAAAGCAAAGAAATGATGATCTCAACTGGATGTGGCAAGAAAGCACCGGCCTTTACCCATCTGTTTATTTGAAGAGAGACTTGAAATCTAATCGGCAAGCTGCACTCTATGTCCGCTACCGAGTAGTGGAATCTATCCGAGTGTCCAAAGTTCGGAATGAAAAAAATCCTGTCCCGATTTTTGTCTACATACGTCTTGTTTTTACTGATAACGTTTCTGAGTACCTTGAGGAGGTAAATAAATGGTGCACAACATCTTTGACCTAGTGTTCCCAAATAGTTTTAGCTGGAAAGCAATGTCATTTTTAAAGGACATGTAATTCAGCTTTATATATCACTTAAGAATAGACACAGGGCTAGTTATATGTTCCCCAAAAGAGATAAAATTACTGCAATTTTAGTGCTTATTGTAGTCATATTACCTGCTAGCAACCATGGCAAATCATAAAATATGACAAATTTTTAACCGTTTTATATTTATTTTATGGATACTTCCAGGGGAAGTAATTGCAACAATAGCCTTTTTTTTAAATACTAAAGAAGTGCCATAGTAAATTATTTAAATAGTGTAGAAATAAATTGTTATCGTTAAGTCAGCATGCTTAGCTTGTTGATGTTGCCCTTTGTATGCTTCCATTTATCCCTCCCTGCTAACTTTTTGTATCACCTTTGTCAGGCTGACCTTGTGAATACAATAGGTGAAATTGTTGCTTTGGGTCCTGCTGGGATTATAATTTGGGACGCTATGACTTTAGCACAACGTGCGGTAAGTTGAATTGGTACGAAATAGAAAATAATTCTATCCTTAATGTTTTTGAAGACTTGGTGTTACAGAAATTAGTACTACGCTGGGCAAGTAGCAGTTGTTCAATGTTTGCTGCATCAAATTGTGTTGCATCTTTCATAATGAAGTAGAAAATGTCGTATCTCTCTTCCAGCGAGGAGTCAGATATTTAGTGAATTAACTCAATTTCTCTGGCTCCATGGCTTGTAAGCAGAGCTAGGACTACCATTTCAGTTTTCTGATATGATGGTTAGTGTCAGACAACAGGCATATATGATTTATTTATTTCCCCATATCAAATATTTGTTCCTATTTCCACAATACTACTGAATAAAAGAGTTGGTGTGTGTGTGTATGAATATAAACATCGTTAACATGTAGCTGCATATGCCATGAATATTTGCATTTAAACAGAACAGCAAAACACTTCATTTAAAACAGATGCATTTCAAGGTTCTCTGACCCTCCCTGTCTATCTTGTGTGACTTTATTATTTTTAGTTTGATCAATAGAAAGTAACTAACAGAAAATGCAAGTTAAGAACGAGTGTGTATCTCTTGATAAAACTTTGAGTCTCAGAAAATTCTCTTAAAATTATAATCTTCCAAGGTTATATTTCAAATTCTTGCTGTTGCTCTTCCAGAATTATAAGTACATTTCTCAAGAGCATTAATTCAGTGATGGGCCCATTTATAACTTATGTATACTATCTCCTTAAAAACATAAAAGAATTGAGAACTTCACCCTTCTTCAAAGGAGGAATCAATTAGGCATCAACAATGAGTAGGATGGGGGGCACTTTTTAGCTGTCACATTTGTTTTTAATGCCACTTTAATCTTAGCTGTCCATGCTTTACCATTCCTCCCAAAGATCTGCAGTATAATTCATTCGGGGATAGATTTCAGTATCACCTTTCCATTTTACGTACTGTCTTGACATTGTTCACTTTTCCTATGTATTTCTGCTTCTTCCCCCAACTCATGAACATTTGACTGTTATCATCGCCCGCCCCTCTTTCATTTGCTGTCATTTGTGATCAGTGTTGATTTGGATCCTTTGTTCTAATTCCTCAGGTTCACTGAGAAAATGATAAATGCAAGGATAGTGGTGTGTGTATGTGTGTGGGTGTGGGTGTGTAGAAACAGAGGCAGGAGCTCATCTTCCATAATTGTTCTCTAACTTTATCTTTAGAGACAGAGAGTTACACAGAACCTGGAATTCAACAGTTGATCTAGACTGTCCGGCCAGCAAACCTTGAGGATTCTCTTTTTTCTACCCCACCAGTGAGGGGCCTAAACACAAATAACACTGTGTCTGACTTTTTGAAGTAGATTTAAAGATGAAATTCAGATAATTAGATTTACACAGAAAGCATTTTACAAACGAAGTCATTTCCCTCGCCAGTTCCTATTCCATTGTCTCGATAATCAGTTATTTTCTTTTTTAGTTGCTACAGCTTTCCTCAAAAAAGTGTCAAGGAAGCCGTTTCCTATCATTCCACCTTATCCATCTAGTTGTGTGAAGAAGCCAGCTCTACCAGTCCTACATTATGAAACTTGACTCTTTAATATTCAGGAAATTTGCGAGCCAGTTGTAAATCAGTCATTATTAAAATTAAAGGATAGAAAGACACAATAAGATAAATTGTGTTAAAACCCCCAAATAACTGAAGCTCAAAAATATGCCAGCTGTTTCACTTCATGTGCACCTGCACGCCCCAGGTTGTGTATCATCTGTTGTATCTGCATGGATGAAACCCTTCACATGCTCATGCTATATGATTGTGCGCTCTGTTCCCAAATCTGCATTTAGTTTTATTGATTGATAATATGAAGTTGGCCATTGTAGGTGTAATTATTATACAGTATCTCTTAGAGTACCAGTTTAAATCTTTTCCTAAAAAGCAAATAAAATATTTACCAAATTATCCTTCAATCTCTAGTCTTAATTTTTGCCTACCTCATTTTTATCATTTTTATCTTCATCTGTCTTATTGATTGAGGATCATTTCTATCTTCTAGAAGTTTTGTGCTTTTAAAGGTCCTATATCTTTTCTTCTGTTATAGAGTTAGTGGTAGTGATTTGTTTTATTTTTATTATTTATTTATATTATAATTATAGAATTCCCTGTCCTCCCTCCAAATCCTCCAAAATATACCTCCTTACTCTTCTTCAAATTGATGAGCTCTTTCCATTTTTTATTACATATTTATGTGTATATACATATCTCCTTCTATATATAACCTACTCAGTCGATATTATGTTACTTGTATGTATGTTTTCAGAGTTCCATGTATGATATACTGGTTGACTACTCATTTGCTATGTAGCTGAATATAACCTTGAACTCCTGATCCTTTGGATTCTCTTGGGGTGTGTCACCATACTCTACTGCAAAGATACATGTTTTTATACTTCTATCTCAAAGCCTCATGTTATCTATGAACAAAGTTGGAAAAGTTAATATACTTACAAGATCTTGTTTCATTATAGGGAACCCTCTTAGACAACTCAAAAAAAATCTTCCCTTGTAAACCAACATTTTCCAATCACATCTATTCTCTTTACTGTAAACTCACACAGTCTCTAGGGACTATAGGGCAGATATTTTTGCCAGGCAATTACTGACTCAACAATGAAGAATTTCAACACAAGGAAAATATTAAGTGTAGATTCAAGTCAGAGCTGCGCAGATTCCCTGCCATTTTTGCCAGTGTGCTTCCACAGTCCAATCATTCAGTAGAACCGTTAATCATGAGAGACCAGGACTGCCTTCAATGTGTTTTAAGGGTCACTGTCGAAGGTTTAGAACACTGTTTTCATTTTAGTACTGTTAAGATGGATCACTTATGCTCCTTATCACTCTAGTCTACTGTTTGTCTAAGGACTGTCATTATATATGGTTGAATATGTATCATTTGAGCCATCAGGTTTGGAACCATATTTAATGTTTAAACTTATCTGACAAATGGAATTCTTGTTACATTTTTTTGTGATTTTTTTTTTTTTTTTTTGGTTTTTTAGAGACAGGGTTTCTCTGTAGCTTTGGTGCCTGTCCCGGAACTGGCTCTTGTAGACCAGGCCGGCCTTGAACTCTCAGAGATCTGCCTCCCTCTGCCTCCTGAGTGCTGGGATTAAAGGCGTGCGCCACCACCGCCCAGCTTTTTTTGTGATTTTTTTGAGCATTAATTGAGGAAATGGTAGGTCCCATATATAGCTTATCATTTGTTTTCACAATAAGCTTATGAGGCAAGGATAAAAATAATAATTCCAAATTTAAAATTAATGAAGCAGAAGCACAACCAAGATAACTAATTTTCATGAGGTGGGCCACATATTAAACTAAGATTTAGAAACCTGGATATCTTAGGTTGACAGATATGATCATTAATGAAAGTGGTACTCCTATCACGCAAGTTAGCCTTAAAGCCCATTGTCTAGCAACTATAACATTCCATTCTCTTGATTAATTTATGAATTAATGAAGATAACTAGTTATCCTCATGAATGAAGATGAAGGATAAGTTAAGGCTCAACTAAACAATTCTTCAGTGACCTGATAAACCTACAGATGACAAAACTAGAATAACCTTGCTTGTTAAATGAAAAAGAGTATTTCCTATTGCTTGTTCAGTCTGATGTTTCTTTCTTCTTTAAGAGTTACTTACTATAGTCTACCTGTTCACAAAGGAACTTGTGCCTTGTTATGCTGACTGCCTTATTATTTTCACAGCCAGGCTGCCCGATCCTTCATAAATACATGAAGAGTACCCTGAACCCGTACATAATCAACACCACCCTAGCTGCCAAAATGTGCAGCCAAGCACTGTGTAAGGAAAAAGGCGTGTGCACAAAGAAAAATGAAAGTTCAGATGTCTATCTTCACTTGAACCCAAGTCATTTTAATATTGAATTAACGAGAAGTGGAAAGCATTTAATCCATGGCAGCCCCAGAGTTGGAGACCTGAAGTACTTTCATGAACATTTTAAATGCAGCTGTTTTACCAACACGAACTGTATGGAGAGATCTGATATAGAATCCGTAGAAAGCGTTAGTGTGTGCACAGGTGACAACGTTTGTATAAAGGCTCCTGTAGAGCCCAACCTATCATCCTGCCTTCTACCTGGCAAAGGCATTCTCCTGCTGACAGTACTCACGCATGTACTGCACCATCTGCTAGAAGAGAGTCTTGCTTTCCAGGGTAAGATGCTAGTGGGTGCTCCTTAATTCTCTCTACCCATAACATTTGTCATATTTTTTTTTAAAAAAACAGTCTTCAGGAATTTGAAAATGTGAAATGGGATTCCAGTTTGCAAAAATAATTCTATTTTAATAATCAAGATTTTATTTTTGACTTTCAGAAAAAGCGTCTGTTTTTCTACCAAAGACTCTAATTGCAAGCAAGGCTGTTTCATTTGGAGACTAGATTTGGTTTAAAGAGAATGAAGACTGAATCAAATAAAATTACTATAAAGCAATGTCTTTTTAGTAGTCTGTCATTGTTTAAAAATGATCAAGAAAATATTAAGATGAAAACTGCTGTTTAAGATGGAATGCCTCGTGCACTAGTCAGTTCATTTGTAGAACTATGATTTTTTTAGGCCCTTCATGTTGAAAAAATTTTATAACTGTTTTGCAGAAAGCTCAACTTTAAAATGACAATTCTGCCTTTGTATATAGTTTAGCGTATTTTCAGAATTTGCTTTTCTAAAGTACTCTAATTTTCTTCTCATTCCTGATTGTCAAGCTTAATTTGCAAACCCGAATAACTTATCTCATCAATCATTCACCTGCTCTCTGAGGTATTTAGAGAGCGTCATCACTCAGAACTTCTGGAATGATAATAGTGAATTACCTTCCAAGCATTGCATTCCAGTTAATGACTGCAATAATAACCCTTTGAGTTCTGCGCTCCTGGAGGCAGACTCATCAGACCTACGCTGCCTGGATGACCAACAGAAGAGGTTGGCTAGCTCAGAAATCCAGGGTAGAACCAAACAGGGTCTGAGGTCCCTGACAGAGATGATGTCAAAGTATGTTAGAAGGCGAATAGTTACTGGATCAGAGAGAAACAGCTCCAGAAAGAGGAGGCATGGGATGTATTGTTAAGTGTGGTGAGAAGCAAATGACTAAATAATAATGTAACTTTCGTGACTCACACTGAGAATTTGGGACTTTAAAAGGAAGGTACTGCCAGTTTTTTAGGTGTGTTCCATTCCCCCTGACTCACACACAGCATCCAGGACATACTGTTTAGGTGTGTCCCATTCCCCTGATTCACGCACATCATCCATGACATAGTACTTTTACTGGCAGCACTGTCGTATAATATAAGCTGCTGCAGTTGTATCTCTATTGTGACAGACAGCACCTGGGACTTCAGAATAGCCCACTAAATATTGAGTGAATAAATGCTAACAATGGGGACTTAGCCCAAGATTTTGTATTTGGGATTAGTCATGGTCAGTTTGCATGACTTGAAGTTGTAGCTTCTGCTGCTGTTGTGATTCTGTTTTCAAACTCTGTCTTTATCAAATAGATATTGAAATGAAAGGATTTGATAAAGACTGAGAGTGGACAGGATATATGAACTGATTTCTCAGAATGTGAAGTAGGATGGAGTTGCAGAAGCAATAGAAATGATCCAGCTTACATTCATGATCTTTTTTACAAAATTGAAAATAGATTCTCTCCTAAAATGCATCGCATCCACAGTTCCTCTTCCCTCCACTACTCCCAGCTCCCTCTTACCTCCCATTTCTCTCATGTCCACACGCCTTCTGGTTATTTTCCAGAAAAGAGATGGCCTTCCAAGAGACAGCAGCCAAACAGAGCAAAACAAGTTACATAACACAAGGCAAAAGCCCTCATATGGAGGCTGGACAAGGCAACCCAATAGGAAGAAAATAGTTGCAAGAGTAGGCAAAAAAGTCAGAGATACACCTGCTCCTGCTACTAGGTATCCCAAGCCAAGAGCCCTAACAAAGACAGAAAGAACCTGGTGTGGACCCTTGCAGGCCCTGTAATTGTCATTTTAGTCTATGTGAACCCATGTGATTTCATGGACCATGTTCTCCTCGTGTCCTCCAAGCCCTCTGACTGCTACAGTCTCTCCTCCCCCCTCTTCCATGGAGTTCCTCTTATCTCTGAGGGGAGGGGCCTGATGGAAGCCTCCAATGTGACTCTCTCTGAGTAATGCCTGGCTGTAGGTCTTTGCATCTGTTCCCATCTGTTGCTGGGAAGCCTCTCTGATGGTAATTGGGCAAGGCACCCATCTATCATATACCAGAATATCATTAGGATTAATTTTATTGCTTTTCTTTTTCTTTTAAAGATCAGTCATTTTTGGTTCTACCTTGGGTTTCTGGGCTAGCCAGCCTCTTCTTTTGGTCAGCCTGGCAGCATAGAGCATGTACTACTGCCTGGGGAGTCTGCTTCCAGCAGTGCAGGACACAAAGGAATCCATAGATCCATAGATTCTGCACTATATATATATATATATATATGTATATATACATATTTAACTAAGGTGGTTAAGGGAAAAATATATATATACATATATATGTATATATACATATTTAATTAAGGTGGTTAAGGGAAAAGATACTCACTCTCTTGATGGTTTCCTTCTTTTTTTTTTTTTTTTTTTTTGTTTTTTCGAGACAGGGTTTCTCTGTGGCTTTGGAGCCTGTCCTGGAACTAGCTCTCTAGACCAGGCTGGTCTTGAACTCACAGAGATCCGCCTACCTCTGCCTCCCGAGTGCTGGGATTAAAGGCGTGCGCCACCATCGCCTGGCTGATGGTTTCCTTCTTTATTCTTCTGTTGTATACTTTTTTTGTACAGCTTATATACCCCAGCAAATTTTTCAAGCAATATTGGAATTGCAATGTGGTTACACTCTATTTTTCAAGTGAATATTATAATGAATACAGATAAAAACATGTTTTTCATCTCCCTTACATGATTAAAACAAAGTCTCCCACGAACCAATATACGTTTACATCTAAGCAACTTGTTACAGATGAACAGAATATGAGCAAGCCAAGAATATTTTTTTTCTCAGCCAGCTCTTTTGTTGGCAGGCTGCATATTGCACTTACAAAAAAAAGAATCAATCACTTTATATACTTATCTTGAAAGGTAATCTTATAAGGAATCTTTTTTTTTTTTTTGGATTTTCGAGACATGGTTTCTCCATAGCTTTTGGTTCCTGTCCTGAAACTAGCTCTTGTAGACCAGGCTGGCCTCGAACTCACAGAGATCTGCCTGCCTCTGCCTCCCGAGTGCTGGGATTAAAGGCGTGCACCACCACCGCCCGGCTTCTTATAAGGAATTTTAAAGGAATCACAAACCTAAACTTTTATATATCAAAAGAATCAGTCAACTCTACCTAAATATTTAGGGTACATACTCATTCATCATTTTTTTTTTCATATCAGAAGATTGAGGGCAGAAATGGGAATAAGGAATTAATCATTTCTTTTGGTCGTCAATCAAATCTAGCAGGAAAGGTATGTTAGCTAATGGTAATTAGATTTCTTTGTTCTTGTCTCCACCTTAAAGAGTTTCTCACTCAACTGTATATCTTTCTAAATCTTTACATTGTCTTCTTGGGTCTTTCCATCTCAAAGCTATATAACAAAAACATCTTAGTTTTACTTGTTATTTTCAAAGCTTTGTTTCCATTATGCTGTACTCCAAAACCTGTGAACACATCTCCCAACATTAGGACTACTGAGAACTCAAGAACAATGGCAGTGGGTTTTTGATCCTACTGCACGTACTGGCTTTGGGGGAGCCTAGGCAGTTTGGATGCTCACCTTACTAGACCTGGATGGAGGTGGGCGGTCCTTGGGCTTCCCACAGGTCAGGGAACCCTGATTGCTCTTCGAGCTGATGAGGGAGGGGGACTTGATCGGGGGAGGGGGAGGGAAATGGGAGGCGGTGGCGGGGAGGAGGCAGAAATCCTTAAATAAATAAATTAATTAAAAAAAAGGAATTTAAGCTAGTTGGGTTACTGGGACTCAGTTGTTTTTCTTAATCACTAACCTAAGCCACAGTCTATATGGCTTCTCAATAGAACTCATGTGTTCTAGCTGTGTGACATTTCCTTGTTCATCCTTCTAGTCTCCAAAACTCCATTTAAAGTGACATTATTATCAATTCTACAGTACAATTTAGGAAGAAATCATAGTCATAACAATCCATAGGCAAAAATTCCCAGTAGATCAGAATGTATTCATGAGTTAAATACACTGCATTCCAGGCAGCGGGAATCTCCCCACACCCATTCACACCATGACAGACACCAGAGAAAGATGCTGTGGCAAGCATGCAAAGGCACACCAGAAACAGAGGATATTCTGGAATCTGTGGTCTTGGGGCCTTGACTATCCATGATCCACCCATCAGAGAGTTTTCTCTGGGTGGGCTGACACCTCAAACTTCAGTTGCCACTAACGCTGCTCCATTGGCTTGGCCACCAGCAGGCATGGGCTCCCTCTTTTTTTTTTTTAAATTTATTTATTTATTAAGGATTTCTGCCTCCTCCCCGCAACCGCTTCCCATTTTCCTCCCCCTCCCCCGATCAAGTCCCCCTCCCTCATCTGCTCGAAGAGCAATCAGGGTTCCCTGACCTGTGGGAAGCCCAAGGACCGCCCACCTCTATCCAGGTCTAGTAAGGTGAGCATCCAAACTGCCTAGGCTCCCCCAAAGCCAGTACGTGCAGTAGGATCAAAAACCCACTGCGATTGTTCTTGACATGGGAGCACCGGACAGAAATCTCAAGGTCCAAATCAGGAGCAGAAGGAGACGGAGCACAAGCAAGGAACTCAGGACCACAAGGGGTGCACCCACACACTGAGACAATGGGGATGTTCTATCGGGAACTCACCAAGGCCAGCTGGCCTAGGTCTGAAAAAGCATGGCATAAATCCGGACTAGCTGAACATAGCGGACAATGAGGAATAATGGGCTCCCTCTTGTGGAGTGTGCCTAGAAGTAAAGTCAGACATTGGCTGTCCACTTCCAAAAGTTATGGGCCACCATTGTCCGAGCACATTTTGCAGGCAGGACTGATTGATACCATGTGTATGTGGCATGTGGTGTGTGTGTATGTATTTGTGTGTTTGTGTGAGTGTGTGTATGTGTGTGCATGCTTGTGTATGTGTGTGTATGTGTGTGTGTGTGCCTTTGTATATGGGTGTGTATGTGTGTGTGTGTGTCT